CCTCTCTCTCTGTTCCTTCCCCACTCTCACCGTCTCTCTCTCTTTCTCTCAAAAATAAAGATTAAAAAAATAATAGAAATGTGCTGTTTAGTGTCAAGGTGTTTGGAGAATTTCCTGTTATCTTTCTGTTATTGACTTTCTAGTTTGATTTCATTTTGGTTGGAGAAAACACTGAGATTTCAATTCTTTAAAATTTTTTTAAATGTTCATTTATTTTTGAGAGAGACAGAGAAGGAGACAGAGAGAGAGAAAACAAGTGGAAGAGGGGCAGAGAGAGAGGGGAAGAGAGGATCCAAAGTGGGCTCTGCACTGACCAAAGAGAGCCTGATTCGGGGCTTGAACTCACAAACTGTGAGATCATGACCTCAGCCAAAGTCAAGAGTCAGACACTTAACCAGCTGAGCCACCCAGGTGCCTCACCCACGGCCCTTTTAAAAGAATATGTATGCTGCTGTTATTGCATGGAATGTTTGTGTTATTTTTATTTATTTATTTATTTTTAAGTAAGCTCCATGCCCAACATGGCACTTGAACTCATGACCTTGAGATCAAGAATCACATGCTCCACTGACTTAGCCAGCAAAGTACCCCTGGATGGAATGTTTTTAAAATGTTGATTAGTTAGCTAACTTGACAAATTATATATATGAATAAAAATAAATAAAATGTTGATTAGATCCTGTTGGTTGACAATATTGTTGAGTTCTTCTATATTCTTGCTGATTTTCTGCCTAGTTGTTCTACCCATTGTTGTGAGAGAGGTGTTGAAATCTCCAACTGTGATGGTACATTTGTTGATTTCTATTTCCAGGTCTATCAGCTTTTGCTTCACATGCTTTGCAGCACATTTTTTGGTGCATAAACATTTGGGATTGCTATGTCTTCTTGGAGGATTCACTTTTTTAGCATTATGTAACATTCCCCTCTCTGGTAATTTTCTTTACTCCAAAGTCTACTTTAGGGGTGCCAGGGTGGCTCAGTGGGTTGAGTGTCTGACTTTGGCCCAGGTCATGATCTCACTTCTCGTGGGTTCAAACCCCACATCAGGCTCTACTCCGACAGCTCGGAGCTTGGAGCCTGCTTTGGATTCTGTCTCTGTCTCTCTGCCTCTCCCCTGCTCACACTCTCTCTCTCTTAAATATAAAATAAAACATTAAAAAAAATCAAAGTCTACTTTATCTAATATTAATATATCCTGCTTTCCTTTGATTAATGTTTGCAAAACTTTTTCCATCCTTTACTTGGACCCTGCTTATATCATTTGAAGTGAGTATATTGTAGACAGCATATACTAAGCTATGTTTTAAAATCCACTCTGCAAACTCTCTTAATTGATATTCTCAGATCATTTACACTTAATGTAATTATTGATATGGTAAGAATTCTATTGTTTTATTTTTTGTTTTCTGTTTGTTCTGGTTTTCATTACTGTTTTCGTTTTCCTGCCTTCCTATGGATTACTTAAACATTTTTTAGAATTCCATTTTTATGTATCTATACTGTTTTTGAGTGTATCTCTTTGTATATTTTTAAGTGGTTATTCTAAGTCTTACATATATACATAACTTATGACAGCCCACTGATGTCATCATTTTACCAATTTGAGTGAAGTACAGATACCTTACCTCCCTCTATGTCCATTTACTCTTCCCATTTTATAACATAATTTTCTTTTTCTTTTTTTTTTATTTTCTTTTTTCTTTCCTTTCCTTTTTTTTTTTTTTTTTTTTTTTTTTTTTTTTTTTTTTTTTTTTTTTTTTTTTTTTTTTTTTTTTTTTTTTTTTTTTTTTTTTTTTTTAGGCTTCATGCCCAGTGCAGAGCCCAGAGCGGGGCTTAAACTCATGACCCTGAGATCAGGACCTGAGCTGAGATCAAGAGTCAGACACTTAATGGGGCACCTGGGTGGCTCAGTTGGTTAAGTATCCAACTTTGGCTCAGGTCATGATCTTGCAGTCTATGAGTTTGAGCCCTGCTTTGGGCTCTGTGCTGACAGCTCAGAGCCTGGAGCCTGCTTCGGATTCTGTGTCTCCCTCTCTCTCCGCCCCTCCCCCTCTTTCACTCTGTCTCTCTCAAAAATGAATAAACACTAAAATAAATATAAAAAATAAATAAAGAGTCAGACACTTAACTGACTGAGCTACCCCGGCACCCCATATAATTTTCTTAAATATTTTATCCACATATATTTAGAACCACAAAAGACTATATTTTAAAAATATTTTTTAAGTTTTATTAAATCCAGTTGACTTTTTAGGTGAGCTGCATGCCCATTATGGGGCTTAAACTCACAACCCTGAGATCAAGAGTGGCACATTCTACCAACTGAGCCAGCCACACACCCCACAAGACTATAGCTTTTACTCAAACTGTCAAGCATGATTTAGAAAGCTTAAGAAAAGCCTATTGTATTTACTCCTGTTTTGCTTACTGTGTTCTTCCTTCTTCCTAATGGTCCCAGGTTCCTTGTTTTATTGTTTCCTTTCTGTTTAGAGAACTTCCTCTATCCATTTTTTTTTAAGTAGGTCTACAGTGACAAACTCTCTAGTTTTCCTTCATCTTAGAATGTCTTGATTGTCCTTCATTGCTGAAGGATATTTTCATTGGGTATAGGATTCTGTGTTGACAGTTGTTATTTTTCCCCCTGTAATTCAAGCTATATTGCTATTTCTTTCCGAACTCCATGGTTTCTGATGAAGAACATGCGGTCATTCAAATTATTTTTCCTCAATAGGCAAGTTGTTATTTTCTCTGGCTGATTTCAAGATTTTTTGTTTTTAGTTTACAGAAGTTAAATTGTGATATTTCTTAGCAAGAATTTCTTTGGGTTTATCCTGTTTAAGGTTTACTCACTTTCTTGAATCTATAGGCTTTTATGTTTCTTGCCAAATAGGAGAAGTATTCAGCCATTATTTCACCAATTACTTTTTAAGCCTGGCTCTCTTTGTCCTTTCTTCTGATGACACAAACATTAAGTCTTTTGAGATAGTCCCACAGGTCTCAGGCTCTGGAGGGTTTTGTTTATTTGGTTTTGGTTTTTGTGGGCTTTTTGTTTTTGTTTTGATTTTCAGACCATTTTCTTTTCTCTTGTTTAGATTAGGTAATTTCCATTGTGCTATCTTCCAGTTCAGTGATTATTTTCCCCATCATTTTCATTCTGTTGTTGAACCCATCCACTGAGATATTTATTTCAGTTATTACATTTTTCTGTTGAAAACTTTCCATTTGGGTCTTCTTTTTTTTTTGTTTTGTTTTCTGTTAAGTCTATCTTCCCACTTGTTTAAAGCTTGTAATTGCTTGCTGAAAACTTTTTATCATTGCTGATTTTAAATCTTTGTCAGAGAATTCTAACACCTCTATCATCTTGGTGTTGGTGTCTATTGATAGCCTTTTCATTCACTTTGAGATCTCGCAGTTCTTGGTAAGTTGAGCGATTTTTCAACTGAAACTGGACATCTTTCTATTACGAGACTCTGGATTTTATTTAAACTTTCTACTCTAATTGGCTTTTTTTGACATCAGTGCAGCAGGGGAGGATGGAGGTAGAAGTCCAGTTTCCCCACTTAGTTCCCCTTAACACCCAGGGGTGGGGGTGGGAGCTCCCTACATGGTCTCCACTGACACTGCAGTGAGGGCACCTTCATCATTATGGAGTGATGGTGAAAGTCCTGACTCTCCACTAGCCTCCTCCAACACCAGCCCAGCAGGGAGAGAGAGGAGGGTTGCCTCAATACTTGGGTTGGAGTGGATGTCCAGACCTTGTCATGGTCCTGTCTTACACAACAGGGTTAAGGGAACTCATTATCAGCAAGAAGGGAGGAATGTTCCAACTCCTTAACTGACCTACACCACACTAGCATAGGTGTTGGGGCACCTGGTTAAAAACCTGCAAGCTGTACAGACCAGCTGCCCATTCAACTTTGCTGGCATAGGTGGGAATGGGGCCACATTTTTTTCTGTGTTGTTTGAATGGAGTAAAGCAGTTATTGTCTAAAAGTTTTCTCTTTGCTAGTGAAAACAGCCTTGTTTCTTCTCTGTTTTTTAATTTTTTAAAAATATTTATTCATTTTTGAGAGAGAGAGAGAGAGAGAGAGAGAGAGGCAGAGCATAAGCAGGGGAGGGGCAGAGACAGGGGGAGACACAGAATCTGAAGCAGGCTCCAGGCTCCGAGCTGTCAGCACAGAGCCTGATGCAGGACTCAAACCCATGAACCACGAGACCATGACCTGAGTGGAAGTTGGACACGTAACCGACTGAGCCACCCAGGCGCCCCTCTTTCTTTCTTATTTGTCTGTACTCACTGTTATTTCTGGTTGCCAGATTCTTCAGCTCCAAGTATGGGATAGAGGAGGTAAGAAGAAAACCCAGGGAACCTCACTACCATGTCATTCCTCAAGTTCTGAGGTCCCTAACTGGTCTGCCTTCTTCTTTCCATCTCTTGGAGTCTTATTATTTAAACAAACAAACAAACAAACAATGTGTGTGTGTGTGTGTGTGTGTGTGTGTATAAAATATCCTGGGGGCTCCTGGGTGGCTCAAGCAGTTAATCATCTGACACTTGGGGCGCCTGGGTGGCGCAGTCGGTTAAGCGTCCGACTTCAGCCAGGTCACGATCTCGCGGTCCGTGAGTTCGAGCCCCGCATCAGGCTCTGGGCTGATGGCTCAGAGCCTGGAGCCTGTTTCCGATTCTGTGTCTCCCTCTCTCTCTGCCCCTCCCCCGTTCATGCTCTGTCTCTCTCTGTCCCAAAAATAAATAAACATTGAAAAAAAAAAATTAAAAAAAAAAATCATCTGACACTTGATATCGGCTCAGGTCATGATCTCATGGTTCTTGGGATGAACCCCAGCATGGGGCTCTGTGCTGACAGTGCAGAGACTGCTTGGGATTCTCTCTCTCCCTATCTCTCTGCCCCTCCTCCACTTGCTCATGCATGCTCTCTCACGCTCTCTCTCTCACACAAACTAAATAAATAAACATTAACATTTTTTTTCCATAGGGCGACATGGCTAAACGCACCAAGAAGGTCAGAACTGTCGGTAAATACTGGACGCATTATGGTGCCTCCCTCAGGAAAATGGTGAAGAAGACTGAAATAAGCCAGCACGCCAAGTACACTTGCTCCTTCTGTGGCAAAACCAAGATGAAAAGACAAGCTGTGGGGATCTGGCATTGCGGTTCCTGCATGAAAACCATAGCGGGTGGTGTCTCTTCCTACAACACCACTTCTGTCACAGTACAGTTAGCCATCAGAGGACTGGAGGAGTTGAAAGACCAGTAGAAGCGCCACCATTTGAAACATTGCTAGCCTATGATAAATGGGTTAATTTATACAAATTTTTTTTCATGAAACAAAATAAATAAAAAATATATCCTGTTCAGGGATTTCAACTGTATGTGAGAAAAATAAGGAAAAGCATGTCTACTCCATCTTCCCAGAAGTGGAAGCCCTGCCTAGCGCTTTTTAAAAGTGCACATCCGACCATGTGAGTCACTGGTTAAATTCTTTCAATGGCTTCCCATCACTAAGGATAAGGACCAAAACCCTTTGCACAGGTCTACTGAACAATCCTGCATGACCTGGCCCCTATCAGTGGTAAATGTTTAATAACCAAATTGGGGAGTAGGAAACCCTGATATGCAGCATTTGCCCATTTTCATGGTGTAAATACTACTATTATGGCCAATTTCAAGCTACTAATGTGAAATTGCTAAATACAGAATTGGGAAGATGTGAACAATGGACTCTTGCACATTACAGACCCATTTTTATCACTCTCTTTGTCACCATGTCACCGTCTCTATGGCAGTGTTAGTCCCTTCCCCTAATTTAAACCATCCAACAACTTCCCAGAACATCTGCAAATAAGATCCCTACCTGTGATCTGGCCTCTCTCTCTGCCCGTCTGTCTGACATCTCTTACCACACTCTCCTTGCTTGATAAGCTTCAAATTTGTTCTCTCAACACATGCTGACCCTACCCACACTGTATTGTTACCAATAAACAAAACAACAACAACAACAAATCCCCTCTCTTGGTGAGGACACACACAACAATAAATCCAATGAGTTAGTAAATGTACCTTTTTTTTTTTTTTTATGAAGAAAACATATTAAATGAATGGATAACAGATCATGCAGGATCTTTTAGGCCCTTGTAAGGACGTCAGCTGAAATGTCACTCCTCATAGAGGCCTTTCCTAATCACCCAATTTAATGTTGTCTCCGTTTCCCCTCAATTTCATGACCTTGTTTTGTCTCCTTAATAGCATTTCCTGTTTTTTTTTTAATGTATTTACCTGTGTATTATTTTCCTACTAGAAATTTGTTTGACTCCTTCATCACCATGTCTCTCCCATTTATAAAAGAACCTTGTACATACTCAATGAATTCATTTAATGAAGGATAAATATGCCCTCAATACCTTAATTTACTATGGGTTTATCATATTCCGCAGGGGCCTTTGAGAACACAATAAATTAGATGATAGAAATCTCAACATGGAATTATCACTCTAACAAAACTTGGGCTAAGAAAAACTTTGTAGGGTTCCTATAATGTTTTAAGGTCTCACACAATTTTTCTCTTTCCGAGTCTGGCTAAAGCTATGGTTTTCACAGATTTGTTGTTCCTGTTTATGACTAAGACAAGGAAACAAATCACAGTCCTTCCGGTTTGGCAATGCAGTCAACACATTTTATTACCTTCCAATTTTCTTTTAAGAGAAAATGTGAGATTTCAAATAAGCCAATACAAGATTTAAGAGGGATCTAGCGGAGTCGTACCTCTGCATGGTTAGAGATTCTAAAAGGAGGGGCTGGGTCTAGAAATGGGAAGGTGAGGTAAAGTACAGGTGCTTTGGATATAAAGGAAGGTCCCGTAAGAATAAATGATCAGGGGCGCCTGGGTGGCGCAGTGGGTTAAGCGTCCGACTTCAGCCAGGTCACGATCTCGCGGTCTGTGAGTTCGAGCCCCGCGTCGGGCTCTGGGCTGATGGCTCGGAGCCTGGAGCCTGTTTCTGATTCTGTGTCTCCCTCTCTCTCTGCCCCTCCCCCGTTCATGCTCTGTCTCTCTCTGTCCCAAATAAATAAATAAACGTTGAAAAAAAAAATTAAAAAAAAAAAGAATAAATGATCAAATGTCTCACACACACACACACACACACACACAATTCAAGACGTACAGCGACTGCAGTTGTGACTACAGAGCAAGAAGCCGAAAGAGGACCGAAAACAGGGAGAAAAGTCCCCATTGTTAGATGACCAACTGAGGAATGGGAGAGATGTGCTCAAGTGTGTGAAGTTGAAACCGTGTACTTGAACCAAAGGCCATTCTAGCACGGACTGGCGTTTCGGGCAGGCTGGAGATGGCATCTCCCAGGCTCCTAAGCCTCCTCCGCCTTTTTCGGGTGGGCAGGTTAAGGCAGGACTGGAGAATGCCTGCACAGTGGGGCCCTGGACAGGTCATTCGGGGAGATCCCGTCTCCCCGTCGAAGCCTGAGCATTTCCCGAACTGGAATCAGGAACCAAACGGTGCCTGGGCCCGACTCTCCCAGGGAGGCTGCACGTCGGGCCTGGCTCGGAAGTGGGTCGGGACCTGCGACACCACGGGGTCCCGGTTTCGGCAGCAGAAGGCGGGGCGCCCACCCTCGACCCTTCCCCGGCGGAACGCTGCGGAACACCAGCCGGCACTGGAGCGCTGCGGCGGCGGGGAAGCCGGGGCGGGGCCGGGGCGGCAGGTCGCGGCCGAAGCGGAGGAAGCGGCCGCCGCCCCAGCTGAGGGAGTGTGGCCGGGGGCTTCCCGCGGGAAGACGACGAGAGGTAGTCTCTCGAGCGCTTCTAGCCCTCTCGAGCACGTCGGCTCGACCCCGCCCGGCCCCGCCCCAGCCACCGCCTCTTCCACAGCCGACGCAGGGGCCGGGGGGTGGGAGGGGAGGGAGGGACCTGCGCCAGCGCCTTTAAGGGGCGTGGCCACATACTCCGCCCCCACACGCCCCTCGCGCGCCAGTAAGGGGAGGGGTGCGGGAGGAGGCGCCAGGGCGGGAGGGGGGGTGAGGGGGGAGAGCCAGGCGTGCGCTGATGCGCAGGCGCAGTGGCCGGACGACAGACCGTGTGTTTCCAAAATGGCGGCAGCGATGGATGTGGATACCCCGAGCGGCACCAACAGCGGCGCGGGCAAGAAGCGCTTTGAAGTGAAAAAGGTTGGGTCTCGCCAGCGCCTTCCTCAGGGAAGCTAGAGAGGCGCGGATCTGGCTGGCAGGCCCGAGGATGACCAAGGCGCGGAGGAAAGGGCTTCATCGCAGGGCGTTCCTGGGACCGGGTACCAGAAAAGGAAGCTGGGGGGCGGGTCTTAGAGTTGATCGGCGTGACTGCGGCCCACTGCCAATGGCAGTATTGGTTTCGCCTGGGGTCTGAGGGACCAATCACGGATGTGCTTATTGAGATGCTCGGGGTTGCGACTTGGCTAAGGGAGCCAAGCGCCTGAGCTGTCACTGGAGGGGTGGAGGGGTGGGGAGGGGTGGAGGGGTGGGGAGGAGTGGGTGGGGTGGATAGAAGGGGGAGTCGGAGCGATGCGGTGGGTGGAGGATGGGGGCAGTGCGGCGAAAGCCGGGACCTGAGTTCCTACCGCATTGGAGGCCTCTGAGGAGCCCGGCTGGTGATCTCCTTGCCCCGCCCCTTCCCGAAGCTCGGGGTCTCTCTGACTCTGAGGGACCCCAAACCGTTCCTCGACTAATCGAGGCCTCCCTTAACCCTCTCTCTAGCCTTCGTCCCCTCCGAGTTAAAGTGTCGACAGTCTAACAACTCTTGGTTCTTCTAAGAGGTCTGTTGGTTAGTCATACAGCCGCCCCAGTCCTGTGGTGATAATCCAGAATCCCTCTGTCCAAAAAAAAAAAAAAAAAAAAAAAAAAAAAGCATGGTGGAATCTGTTAGAAAATGCGAGCCCAAACGTTGTGTCATTTAGGAAGGGTTGAGTACTAGTGGCGAACGACCGGGTGAAAGTGGGGAAGCAAAAACGTGGAACGTGTCTTTTTGCATGAAATGCCTTACAGTGGGTTTGCCAACAGTTGGGGAGAAAAGTACCGATTCCCACATAATATAAAATAAATCTGTTCAAATGAAGACTCTGAAATAGGGAAAATGTTATTCCTGGAACATCTGGCTGAACACTGACAATATTCCCCCTCCCAGTGCTTTTTGGTGTTTCATTGTGGGCACTGCATGCTCAGTTACAGCCAGCAGCCATATTGAAGAATAGAAATAGGGTTTTTTTTTTTCTTCCCTTCAAGTTGAAGGTGTCGGCTGAAAAGTGCTGGAGAAGTTTAACTAGACACAGAATTGGGTTTGAAAGAGCTGAAGGTTTTGGAAGTGGCACCAAATTAGTGGATGAAAAGGGAGTTTGGGAATCTTTATAATTGCAGAAACCAAAAGGTTGAATTACTTAAATAGTGCTTTTAGATAAACTCTTGATTGGAATTATCTTAAGTAAATATGAGTCTGAGCATGTAAGCGGTGAGAACATCAGTTTATTTGACGGTTGGACCTAGACAAAATTCTCGTGAATTCTAGAGTTCGTTGTGAAATAATCTTGTGAGATTTAAGTGATGACCTTGTTCTGTGTACTGACACTGGGTAATTAGTTATCCAGCTTATCCCACGATTACCCATTTTATGATCCAATCATCATCTTAGTTCATTCTGTTCCTAGCTTTCACCTCCCTCCTCATGCTTGCAAAGTTGCCTTGAAAAGCAGATACTGATCTATGCAGAAATTGAGCTCTTCAGGAGAAACCTGTACAGAAATTCGAGTTTGGGCTTATTAAACCTAAAACAGGCACTTAAAAATTATTCCTCATCTCTTACATTGATATTGTCGATTAAATTATTTTAAGCTGTAGGAAAAAATAAAGATGACTCCTTAATTTCTGTGTTCATATACTCAACCTTTTGGAGAACGGGTGAGCATACGTGTAGCCTGCTGTTGCCCTCTGATAAAATAAGAGTAATGTAATGTCCCCAAACTCTTGTGTTTGGTGGTCTTTGTGGCTCTGGGTTAACTGCAGCCGCAGTGTGCAATCCTAAGAGTGTGCGTGCCTGTGTTACAAGGAGAGTGTATTGTTCCCCCCTTTTTCTCTTTGCAGTGGAATGCAGTAGCTCTCTGGGCCTGGGATATTGTGGTTGATAACTGTGCCATCTGCAGGAACCACATCATGGATCTTTGTAAGTAATTGGAGGAGGATGGGAGGAGATTGAGAAGGTTACAGAGATTGTGCCTATCTTGAT